GTGGCCGCGGCTCTGGGCTGCTTGAAACGACAGCGGGGGACGTCTCCGGGGACAGGGACGTGCCAAAGACACGTGGCAAGCAATCTGGGAGCAGCGTGGCGGCATGCCCAGCATGGGCAGAGGAGCCTGTCTCCCCCGCGGACTGCTGTCTTTGGGCGCCAGCAGGCTGGCGCGGAACGCTGCATTATTTAAGGCACTGGAGTTTAATGAGGCTTTTTATTACCTTTGCTGAGTGGTGTTACTGGCCCTGACGTGGGCACAAATTTCACTACGTTCCCAAATCCGGTGGGAAGGTCCAGGCAGCACCTCGGCTGCATCGGTGACAAATTCCACCCCGCAAGGGCTGCCTGTCCCATGCGGCCCTACCTCCGCCTTGGGGACCAGGCCTAGGGAAGCCTTGAGGGATCCCAACCAGGGCTGGCTTTGATTGGCTGGGAGGGCACAAACTCGCCCTCCAAGGCCCAGAGTATTTGCAGAGTTTTCAGTCACCGGCTAGGTCATCAAAGTAATCATCACCAAGGTCCTCCACAATGTCATCGTCCCCTTGGGCCAGCAGCTCGAGGTCGGCCGGGGACAGCCGCCGGGCATATGCCAGCTGCTTCTGGGTCTCCTTGGAGGTGGACGGCCCCTCCTCAGCTCCCCCTGCGGGCAGAAAGAGCAGAGAGGTGTAAACCTTGCTTGATCAGGAGGGAGCCAGGCAGGCGGAGGCGGCGACCCATCACTAATTAATCACAGATGCTAATTAATTTATGGGTGCCGCTGCAGCTCCTAGGAAGCGGGAGGGAGAGCACAGCAGGACTTCCGGAGCAGCGCCTGCTCCAGTCCAGGCTGTGTGCGCACTAAATGCCATGGAAGCAGGGAGGGGAAAGGGAGCCTAGCAGAGCTCCTAAGATACCCAGAGCTCTCCTCCCAGTTCCCTGTAACCCAGCGCCTTTCCCCTCTGCAGTTCCCACCCCTGCTCCCCCCAAATACAGATCAGCAAGAGACACTTGCCCCCAGCTGGAAAACTAGCCCCAAGCTCTGCCTCCTGGAGGCCCAGGTCCCTGGGAAGGTATCGGTGAGTGCCCTGCAGAGCTGGTTTCCAGGGGCTGTGCAGAACTCCCCAATCCCAAGTGGCGTTCAGCTCCTCCCAGCACATCCATGGGATCCCAGCAGAGGCAGGGCCGCTCTGCGCCTGGCCCCTGGGCTGTGGTCACTCAGCATCGCCCCAGCACATGGCCACTTAGCCGCCTACTGCAGAGCTGGAGGACAGCTGGGTCTTACGCCCACTTCCTCCTCCGGAGAGCGCCCAGGGTGGGGAGAAGCCATGGAACAGGGTGCCCAGTTTATGTCCAGCATGGCACTCGGGTTTGGCTGGCAGCAAAGCAGGGGTGGGCAAAGGGCATCCATGGGCCGGATGCGGCCCGCCAAGCAAATTGTGCTCCCAGGCCAATTAGTCTCCTCCCGCCCTGCAAAGGGCTCTGGTGGTTGACCAAGCGCGGCGCTCCCTTTCAAGGGAGCAGGGAGAGAGAGATTTCACTTGCTCCCCCTCCCCAGGCCCTGACTGTGTGCTCCCCTCTGCTGCCCCCCGGTCAATGTCCCCTCGCATGGCCAGGGGCTTGGGCGTCTAGAGTGAACCGCCAGCTGCACTGCTCCCAGCCTGGATCCAATGCCCATCTAGCCTGGGCCCTAGCACTAGTGTGCGTGCCAAGCCACAGCCATCGGCAGACCGGTTCTGGGCAATGCTCTTGCTTGGACTCCCCTTAGCTAGCAACGCAAACCTCACAGGAGACACAACAGCCACGCACGGAGTCACTGGGCTTGGGCACCGTGGTGGTGAGATCCCACTCCAGCCCCTCGGCTCTTGCAGACAGGCAGGGCCCATGGCAACACCCCGGCTCAGGCGCCATCCGGCCCGGCCTTGCTCTGCCAGCAGGGTAACACCGCCAGAAGCGAGCCACTGGGATCCGCCATGGAGCAGCATCCAACAGGCTGCAGTGAGACGCGTGGGGCTCGGCCTGGCCAGGACAAATGACTGGTTGGGCTTCCGGCTCTGGAGACCTGGCTCGCGGGGCAAGCGGGGTCTCTCAGGAAGCACAGCCCAATGCTGCCCCTCCGCAAGGGCCAACCAGAGAAGCCGCCCTCTTGCCCGCACACCCGCCCCTTTCCAGACACCAGTCACGAACAGGGACACGGGCTGGACACCACAGCGCTCCATGCACGTAACCCCCTAAGCACTAATCACTCTTGGCCAACACGCACCCGGGGCGTCTCCACCCAACACCCGGCGGCTTCGGCCTGTTGCTCCCCACGGGGAGAGAACCGGCAGCCAGGAAAAGCAACACCCCTGCTCTGCTCAGGGGA